TCCCAAAAATGGCTCCACAGCATGTAAACATATAATATAAGCTCTGGCAGACTTGGTTCTATGGTAGGTCTTAAAGGGTTAAACAGACTCGGTCTGTCTGGACTTCCATCCTCTCAGCTGTCACACTGTTTCACACTGTTTAAAGCTGGTGCACCACTGCAAGCTTTGCTATCGATCACTGATACCAATACTGATACTTTAAACTTATGTAGTGCAGGAGGTGACATCAGTCATCATTTTACCAATTCTGAACACATTTTAATGATCGCTCAACAACTGGGACTTTACCTTTCCACAGTAGTTACCACAACAAAACACACCCTTCAGCTTTTATTTTGAAAGTTTTTCTGGGAGACCATGGATGTTCCTGTCTCTGAAAGACTTTGGTTCAGCTTCTTGTTTAAATGTGCTGTAGGCTGCAAAAAGACACGTTTAACACGTTTCACTGGTCTTCATGCTGAACGTAGAGGATAGAAACAAAGTAGGAGGCTGAAGGCTCTGCAGTCGTTGGGAGAAGGAGATCCAGCTGTTTTATCTGATCCAGTCATATGATAATAACACACGTTTGCTTTAACGATAAAGCTTTCGTCCTGCAGCTACATCCCACATCCAGACTGGACTGCTGCACCTCTCTCTGGTTGGGCCTTCAACACCCGTCTCTCCATCACTTCCAGTCTGCTGCTGCACGTCCTTTAACAGGTGCTAAAACACTGCAGTTTGGCTAATTTATGTTTATGATTTGTTTTTACCCTTTTAAATGTTAAATATGTTGTCTTTGCTTCAAATACATCACAGTTACTCTTTGGTCCCATAGCTGGCGTTCTGCACTGGATCACACTGTGAGAACTGTTACTCAGATACTTTAAAGAAATAAGACAACATTTTAAAAACACTTTTTGTAAGAGACTTAATACTTTTTTGACTGTAAGCTGAATACAGTAATAACTAACACATACATGCATTTATGAACCTGTAGTATTTGTACACAGTTTGTGTAGTATATCAGTATAATTATATACTAACCTGTGGTATTTGTACTTTATCTGTCATGTCCTCAGGAATTACTAAAATACTCTGATTACAGTTCTCGGGT